AAGTTTCCCATTTTGATTCCTTGTTTAGAATTCATGACATGAACTATTGACTACTGCCATCATGAATCCCTTTTCTCCATAATTAGTAGAATAGGCAAAATTAGTATTTCATTCTTTGCTGAGGTATAAAATCCATTTAAAATAGCTAATTTGTGACTTCCTAAGATGTGGCACTGTAAGATAAACACTAGAGTGCTAACTGCAAGGTTGGAAGTTCAAACCCACCAGCCACTCCTTGGAAACTCTACACAGGGTCCCTATGAGTCAGAATTGACTTGACATCACTTATGTCGGTTAATGCGCTAGACTACAAGGTTGTCAGTTCAAGCTCATTAACCACTCCTTGGAAACCCTATATAAGATGGCTATGAGTCAGAACTGACTAGATGGCACTTTACAATAATAACAACCAAGATGATTCAGGGGGAGCCTGAATGGCACAGTGGTTAAAGTGCTTTACTGCTAACTAGAAAGTTGATTCCAACCTAACATGCATAAACTGTAGAGTTTCTATGAGTCAGAATCAACTGGTTGGCAATAAATTTGGTTTGGGTGTAAGGTGACTCAGAATCCACAGGGAGAAACAAATCAAGAAAACTGTAGCTGCTTTATTTCCATAAAGCCCAGCGAGTATCAAAAGCTGCCCATATTTCACAAAAACATTGTTTAAAAAAAGAAGCTGAATTACAATTAAGGTTAAGGATGTGTTAGTGGAAAAGACAAGGCCATATACTTGGCATTGCCCCCTAATGGTTCTACAAAAATGAGCTTTAGTTACCGTTGAAAAACCTTTTTATGAAATGTTTGAGGTTGAGCTGTTGGAATCTGAAATGCTTTTTGTCTTAGCCATGTGTGTATTTCAGTGGTTTTGTTCTTTATTCCTTACTAAATACCATTACCTGATTTGCACTGCCCAGGAGGTATAGTAAGCTTATATAGAAATGAATACATCGTCTTATAAATAAAGTCAAAAGAACAAATTAAGTAACAATAAAGATATGAACACAACGATGTCCTTTGCCCCTGATTATCGACTAGTACCAATGACCAGCCTGTCTAGCCCTAGTTCTTTGTCAGACTTGAGAAATGCCACCTGCTTCTGAATTGTCTCACTTAAAGGACAAAACCTTTATGGTGTGTGCCTCAGAGTTCCTTAGAGTTTGGTGTGAGTTTAATTTAAAAAGTCATTTCAGGAGGTTCAAAGCCTTGGCTTTCCTGCAGGAGAGTCCTTTATATAGAAAGTAAAATGTCCTTTTTTCCTTTTAATTTTTTTTTTTTTTTTGGTCCGTTCTTCTTCTTGAGTTGATGCCAATTCACAGCACATAGAATATCTGAGGCTATAAATCTTTATGGGAGCAGAAAGCCTCATCTTTTTCCTGAGGAGCAACTAATGGGCCCAAACCACTGACCTTGTAATTAAGCAATCCAGTGATTATTCTACAGAGTCACCATGATCCCATGTCCCTCCCTATACCCAATCACAAAACATAAACAGTTCAAAGCACTATACTACAAATGATTTATGTAAAAATCTATTCTTGTCATTCACTAATTAGAAGGATGTTTCCCAACACCCTTTACTAACTTTAATCTACTCCCCCCTCAATCTACATAACATCAGATCCTCTCATACTGTGATTTGATTTGTATTTCTTTTTTCAGAGATTTTACACCTTTCCAGAACATAGCATCTTAAAGCACATTTAAGTCAGAATTAGTGTAGTCTTAGCTATGTTTATGAAGTGAACCCTCCGCTCCAGTCTGAAATAACTTATAGATGGTTAGCATTGCCATCCGTGAAGGTTCTGCTTTGATTTGTATATGCCTGTGAATTGTATCCACGGAGAAAATGTACAGAGATAGCATTTCACTTTTATGTTTTTCATCAAACAGCTTCCTAGTGACAGAGGGAAAGTATGAAAGTTGTTAGGGAAACATTCTCTATTACCAAGAGGTTGTTTCCTCAGAAGTCAGAGACTCGTGTGCACTGTGAAGAGAATACTTAATTAAACCTCTGCTAGAGAATTCCTATCAGATTATCATTCTTTGCAAAGCCACCTTTGCCTCATACAAACAAAATGGTCCACAGGTAGCTGCTTATAAGTTATTTTGGCATAGAATTAAAGTTAACTTTGATTCTAAAATGTATGTTTCAATGAGACATTTTCGACCAAAGAAAGAAATGCAACTTCACACTTGGGACGTGTCTTAGGTGGTTTGTGACATCTGAAAAAGCTTGCTTGGGTATCTTTCAGTGCAAAAGTCCCACAGCTGGAAGATCAGTCCTTTGAATTAAGACTTCATTTTTGCAGCCATTTTTAGTATGAACTGAACTGAGCAGGTCACACTTTAAGTAATTATTAATGAAGATCCCCTCAAAAGAGATTTATCAATTATTTTTATCACTTGAAAACTACTTATGAGAGAATGGAAGACAACACCAAATCCTAATTTTGCTACAGAAAATGGAAAAAAGCAGAACTAAAATTTCAAAGGTTACCTGGAAAGGCATGCTTCAGGGACTCGGGGAAGCTAAAAGGAAATAGGTGATTATTGAGTGACTTTAAAAAGGTGTTAGGGGAGGGGGTTGGAAAAGACAGAAGACGCAGATAACTTTGACCTATTTCACAGTTTTGCCTATATCCAATACCATGACATTATCGAACACTCATTTTGATCCCAGCATCTTGGTTTCTTTTCCTCTGTGAGTCCTTGAGTAAATGTTTTGATTTGTAGTTTTAAAGTCTGATGGGTGGATTCTACTCTTTTTCTTTTAATATCAGATCATCAGTTTTTGCAAAGCCACCTTTGCCTGCTACAATGAAATGGTCTTCAGGTAGCTGCTAATAAATTATTTTGGCATAGAATTGAAGACATTTTGACTCTCAAGTGTATGCTTCAATGTATAAATATGACTTAATAGACATTGAATTTTATTGCAACGTTTTTTTATGTACTTCTTCTAAACAAATACCAAAGCTATGGTACACAATAAAGAATGGGGGGGGGGGGCGGGGGAACACACACGAAAGCAATCCTCTATACTGAAAATGCCTTCCCACAGCATAGGGAGTTTCTTCGGTGCCATTGGCAGGGCAATGAACATCAGTGGATTTCAGCTTTGACTGCAGCCCCTCATTTGCCTTGATTTAAAGGTCCCAATCTCAGTTCTTTATGGAGTGTTTAGGTTTTCTTATCAGCCTCTTAGGAATCACAAGAACCTTTAGTCCTTAACCGTATACCTTGTTGTTGTAATGGAAGCTGTTCTCATTGCTGTAATTTCTTCTTAATGTTACAATTTTAATCAAGTATTCTTTCCCTCTGGAATCATTAATTATTGTCAGTTTCAAAAAGAACCTTGCTTGGTGAGTATATTTCTACTCCGAGTACCAAATCATTTCCTATTCTTCCTCTAAGTGAAAGAATCTTTCCCATTGTTTTCCTTCAGTCTTCAGCATATACCTTTTAGACCACTGCAGTGTAATTTAGGCTATCTTTGCCCACCAGTTAGCAAGTTAGCATTCTTCATGGTTTCATGTATCTCACCAATTTGCCAGACTTGTCTCATTTTATTTGCTATTACCTGTGAAGTTATTGGCCATTGGAGCTTATGATAGTCCACAATTGATTTAGATTTACTTGTGGTTTATAACATATCATTAAAATAAATGGTTATTATCCAATGACAAGGACTTCACTGACATATAAAATAATGGATACTTCTTCAAATAAAGCTGAACATTGTGGAAAAGTATTCTGTTCTTTGAGATTAAATGAATTGTTTCTTCAGTTTGTATCAGTAACTATTTTAAATCTTAGACAGTTAAATGTATATTTGATTATTGTTAAATTTCAAAGTTTTGCTTTCACTCATATACACATACACAAACTCTATCTCAGACAAAGAAGAAAGACTACTTAGTTACAAAGAACTACATATGAGAAAAAATCTTTCTAAACAAAACCAATCATCATTCTAGTAGCATTTTTACAGTACCTGTACTAGGACTATTCCTTATCTTAGCTCTGGAAGGAAAGCAGAGAACAAGACAGTTCCCATGAGCGTACATTATAGAAACTTGGTCCAGACTTCACTTCTATGTTAAATATACTTCGTTCTTTCTCATCTGATAATTTCCTAAAGAGTTTTCTCCATCCCAAATGGAGATGATTAGACCACCAATGTGTGTTTTTCTACTTGAAATTATGTGATGTGTTTATCCTGAAGTCATATGCTTCTGAAAGCAGTACAAGTCAATTTCATTATATAAAAATGAAGTATACTGGAATTTATTATTATTTTACTGAACATAAATCAGGCAATGAATTCAAGGCTGACATTTCAAGCCCCTTAGCCATGTGTTTCAGGAAATGTATTCCCTTGTTCATTTACTGCTACATTTTGAATCATTTCCTCTACTCCATATGGTTGTTGATGTCTCTCCCTTCAGCCTGAATGAACCCATTTCTTTCCAAGGGCAAGAGCATCTTCAAAATAATAGGAAACCTTGGGTTGAGCTACACAAAACATGTTTTTGTTATCATATTGTATGAAACTTAAGAAAATTGATAAAGAAAATTCAGCATGTCTTTCATTGCATTTGGTCTTTTTTTTTTTAAGTTTTACTAAAATACAAATCAAAATACATGAACGCAATTATTTTCATGAACATTTGACTACCTACTGTGACATTCTCAGGTATTTAATTGATTCAGTTCATCAATTTGCACAAATTTTAATATATACAATTGTATGATTTTAAAAGTGTTTTAAGTTTGTTAGGATTTAATGCAAACCAAATTGTATACATCTCCAACTTTAAACCATTGGCTTGAATATACAAAAGTACATTTAGAAGTAATTTTAGTGGTAACATAAACTAATTTCAAATGTTGGGTGAGCCTAACTAAAACTTCCCATGAGGTAACCAAAGCATATCAGCGACAGTGCTGTGGGATTCCGCACTGAGATAAATGTTGTTCTCTGTGTGTTCTCTCAGGAGGTTGAGTTGTGTCGTGTTAGCAGTCAGGAGAAGCTGGGCCTGACAGTCTGTTACCGAACGGATGATGAAGAAGACACCGGCATTTATGTCAGCGAGGTAAGAAATATCACAAAGGGGGATTAACGAGGGAGACTGCATGGCATGGAGTGAAATGACTCACAATGAGAAAATCCTTCCGAGGCATGAATGTGAAGAATTGGCCATGTTCCAGTACTTGTCACTTTCAATTAGGAAAGTAAATTATGCTGCCCAAGTAATGTAATTATTATAAGCTTGTTTAATGTGGATGCTTTCACCACATAATCCCACTATAGAAAATATAAAAGTGATAACATTATCTAAATTTAAATAAATTCCCTTAAGCATCCAGAAAGTTGAGTCGAGTTTTTGATCGGCAAACATGTTGTCCCTTCATTGCACTGTCTTATTTCAGTTCTGTTAACAATAACAGTGGCTAATTGTTTTAATCTAATATTCACAATAATCACATATTTTACTATGCTGACAGGCTTGATGAATTTGAATACCCAAGGAGTGTGTCTATTAGTTTATTTTATTCAATGCCATAATCACTTTCAGGAAGTGAGGTACTTAAATATGAGACACCCTTGGGTGTCAGTTACTGTGAAAGAATATGAAACAAAATTATTATCATGGGTAATTAAAAGTGCCCTAAAGAATGACTTTATATTTAAAATATCAGAGCAGGGCTTGAAAACTAGATGAAGATGTCTGTTCCATTCTGTTCCAAGTCTTCTTGGCTATGATCCTAGTAAAATACTTAACTTTGAGTCTGTTGACTCAACTGGAAACAGCATAGCAATGCTTGTTTCATTGGTCTTAGAGTTTTTATGAAGCATTGGTGATTCAGAAGTGGAATTCTCACCTTTCATGCAGGAGACCCAGGTTGCATTTCTATGTTTACCTGTCATCCATCTGTCAGAGGAGGCCATGTGCTGCTATGATGCTAAAGAGATTTTATCAGAGCTTCCAGACTAAAAGGGAGAAGTAAGAAAGGCCTGGTGATCTGCTTCCAAAAACTAGCCAATGAAAATACTGTGGATCACAATGGTATAATCTGCTATCTATGAGTTGGGTACCAACTCAAAGCAATTAGTAACAACATAGATTTGTTTAGGACATGGAAGCAAAACTGCAATAATGCACATGGAAAACTAAACTGATGTTCTAAAATGTTACTCTTCATCATTTAACCAAATAATTTATTGACTGTGTTTTGCAATGAATATTTGATGTCTCCCTCTTTTAAATGTACAGCTATGATCATCACAGGCAGGGAAGTGATAAGGAGTATAAGGAAACGTCTGCTGGATTCTGTTTTGTAGTATATACAAAGACGGGAATATAGGAGTTTAATATATAATTACAGCTCTGAAGACAGAGTTTTAGATTGTGAACAACTTCTAAATAACATTCAATTGATTGAATTGATCACTTCCGTATAAGAATTCTTTAATTTGCTATTTATATTTTCCCATTTTGGTCCTCACTATTAAGGGAAGATAAAACAAAACCCAAAAAATCTGAGATGTATCTTGAAGAAATGTTTTTCTTTTTACCTTTTACATATACTTATAGTGTCTTTTGTTCTTCATTAACCATTTAAGACTAATTTATTATGTGGCCAGTAAGAAAATAATATCTGAAATCTGGCTAGGATGAGGCCACATTATGCTAAACTTGAAATACTTTGCTTGTAAAAAGTCTTTGATGGTATAAGCCTAAATAAATGATTCGAAAGTGATAGTTGAAATTACCCCCACTCAAAAGTCATCACTCATGTTTGGCCCATAAATGTTGATAAACTCGTAATAGAGTCTTAAATATCTATTTATATAAAAATAATTGCATAATTAGCACACTTAACCCTATGTGTCAATTGTTGCCTAGAAGTAATCTTCACAGACAGGATTTTAGGAATTTCTTCAGAAATTTAGAATATAAATCTCATCAAAACTAATATGATTAGAAAGAAACCCCCTAAATAAATATGGACTTGTAGTTTTCAGCTTTTCTAAGATCATTAATGTAGGTTTAAAAACAATCTTTGCTGTTGTTAAGCGTCGTTGAGTAGTTTCCAACTCAGAGAGTGACCTTGTAAAGGGTTTCCAAGGAGTAGCTAGTGAGTTTGAACTGCCGACCTTGCAGTTCAAAATGACCTTGTGGTCCAGTGCTTATCCTACAGAGCCACACCAGGACTCCAAAAGGGAAAAAGAAAAAAATCACCTTTGTAGAAAGTAAATTCCTGGCTCCAGAGAATCCTAGTCAGCAAAAGACCGTGTCTTACAATTGAGTGACAGAAATGACTAAGGATAGGGAAAATGACCTTCTGATTGAGTTCTGCACTAGCATTCTTTAATTTATCATCACAGATTTCAAAGTAGTCCATTCACTCTTAGGATCAGTGATTTTGACCCCCCAAAAAAGAAAATCTGTCTTATATTCTGTCATTAATCAATGGAAAACTTTGAACCATGTTTTTATAAATGTATTTTAAAGACCATATTGGAGTTTTGTTTTTTGGTATGGGGAGGAATAGGAGATACTGCATAGCCATTTGAAAACGTGTATCCTCTCTGTACTATAGGTAGATCCAAATAGCATTGCTGCCAAAGATGGCCGGATTCGAGAAGGAGACCGTATTTTGCAAGTATGTGATTATTTTCTTATGTTTCTGTGATCCCTCCAACAGTTTTCTTGGTTTTGTTTCTTCAAAAATGTTAGATAAAAGGTTTTTTCTTAGCTTTTGGACATTAGCACCTTCAAAATAAAGAGCTGCCATTTAGAAACATTTGATTTTAAGTAAAAATTGTGAGAATTATTGAGTCATTACCTAAGGTCAATGATTGTAAGACACAAGTCTTAGAGGCAGATTATTTGGTTACTTGGGCACATCACATAACCTTTTACATTAAGCCTTGTCCCTCATCTTAAAAAATGATAATAATAATAAAACCTATCATTGTGAAGGTTAAACGAGATTATACATGCAATATGTTTGGCACAGTACATAACGAAAAAAAAAACAAAAAAAAATAAACAAACTTCAAACCCACTGTCATTGACTCGATTCTGACTCATAACAACCCTATGTTGTTGTTGTTGTTATGTGCTGTGGAGTCAGTTCCGATTCATAACAACCCTGTACAAGGTTTCTGAGGCTGTAAATCTTTATGGGAGCAGAAAGCCTCATCTTTCTCCCGTGGAACAGCTGGTAATTTCAAACTGCTGACCTTGCGGTTCGCAGCCCGATTCGTAACTACTATGCTACCAGAGCTCTATGTAGGGCTTCAGAAATTAAATCTTTGTGGAAACAGAAAGCCTCATCTTTTTCCTGTAGAGCAGCTGGTGGGTTTGAAATGCCAAGTTTTCAGTTAACAACAGTCTTATGCTTATCCTAAAACTGCTTTAACCCACCTATCCTTTCTAAGTCCTCACTCATAGACAAAAGAAAGAAAATATGCAGAAAGACACAGTAGGTCTCCAGCCAATACATCAATATAAGAACATAGGCCATGTGGAATTTCGTTTCACTGCTGATCACAACTAGGCAACAGAGAAGCCTTGAATGACAGACTGAAGAGGTTTCAAAATGCAAAACTTTTAGCCATTGTGATATATCTATAGCTCCTGCTTCTTCTTACCCTAAAGACTGTTTCCTTGGATTCAATACTCTTGAGAACTCATTGTGGTTGTTGTTGTTAAGTGCCGTCGAGTTGGTTCCGACCCACAGCGACCCTGAACAGGGTTTCCGAGGCTGTAAATCTTTACAGGAGCAGAAAGCCTCATCTTTCTCCCGTGGAGCAGCTGGTAGTTTCAAACTGCTGACCTTGTGGTTCGCAGCCTGATTCGTAACCACTACGCTACCAGAGGGCTTCAAAAATAGACAAGATGTGAACCCTTGAAATGATTACCCTGAGAGAATCTTTAAACCGTAACCCAAAATATCCCCTGATATTTTTAAAACCAAATAGTAGTTTAAGACTCATGTAAGAACTATATGGGATCAAATGAACATTAGCAAATTGAAAGATCAGTTAGTAACCTTAGGGAGAAGTTGTTGTTAAGGGTCATCTAGTAGTTTCCAACTCATGGTGTTCCTGTATAGGGTTTCTAGGGAGCAGCCTGTGGGCTTGAACTGCCAACCTACAGCACCACACCAGGACACCTGGGGCAAAACAACTGAAAAGAGAGTGAGAATGATTGCACAACTCAAAGAATGTAATCAATGTCAGTAGATTATGTGTGTACAAACTGTTAAATAGGTCTATGTCTTGCTGTGTATATGCTTAATAAAAGAAATACAATTAAAATATTAAAAATATATACGAGACATAGCCCACCATTTGGTAGCTAGGAAGACAATGATATACACAGATGTTGACACAGTATGGTATTGTGCTGATACAGGATGCTTGAGCTATTCTGGACACACATCACACAGATGTCTGTCCTGCTGTTCTGCTGACCTTTCGTTTCTTCAAATGGCACTCATTTTAGATGCTCATTTACCTTCCAGGTAATGGAAGTTTCAAAATGTTTTTTGTTTTCCATTTTTAAAACAATTTTAAATTCACTCTATTAATATCTCCAAGTAAACATACAGAAAATACCATAACCTTTTTAATTTCCAGAGTCCTATTACAGGCAACAATCATTAGAAAACGGTATGAGATGTTACATTAGAAAGTAACATGTTTACTGGCTGAAAGGGCTGGGAGATTTTTGTGCCTGTAAGCGGTCCCATGGAGCCCTGAGGGCATAGTGCTGTATGCATTGGGCTGCTAATTTGTAAGGCCTTCAGTTTGAACACACCATCTTCTTCCAGGGAGAAAGATGAGGTTGTCTGCTCCCATAAAGATTAGTCTAGGAAATGCAAAAGGGCAGTTCTACACTGTCCTGTTGGGTCGTTATAAATCAACATTGACTACACGGCAGTGGTTTTGGTTAGGTTTTCTAGGGTTCCTCTGAGTCAGAATCAGTTAGACAGCAACAGGATATTAAGTGAAAGGATCCCTATGGGTGCAGTGGTTAATCACTTGACTGGTAACTCAAAGTATGGCATTTGGAACTCACCAACTGTTCTTTGGGAGAAAAACCTGGCAGTGTGCTTCCATGAACATGTTCAGCATAGTGAAGCCTATGCAGCAGCTCTCCTCTGACTTAAAGGATCTATCTGCTAGCATAGTGATTATGAATCGGGCTGCTAACCTCAAGGTCGGCAATTCGAAACTACCAGCTGCTCTGCGGGAGAAAGATGAGGCGTTCTGCTCCCGTAAAGATTTACAGCCTCAGAAACCCTGTGCAGGGTCACTATGAGTCGGAACCAACTCCACGGTACTTAACAACAATACTAATGAGTCAGAATCAACATGACGCCACACAGCAGAATTAAGTAACCCTAGTAGACAATGGAGTCTTGGTGTGGTACTGTGGGTTAATGCGCCAGACTGCAAAGCTGTTTGAACTGCAAGGTCGGCAGTTCAAGTTCACCAATAGCTCCTCGGAAACCCTATACAGGGTCGCTATGGGTCGGAACTGACTCGACGGCACTTAACAACAACAACAGTAGGCCATATTTTGGGATATAATGGGTCACTATTTCATCATCTTTCCTACTACTCTTTTACTATTGGCATCTTTTATTTCTTCCTCTCACCATCTAATGTCCACCTCCCCAAACCGCCTCTTGCTCTCTCTTCTCTGGTTTCCTTCCTCCCTTCTACTCTACCGTAGGCTAATCATGAAAATCTCATCTAGCATCTCAGTATGTGGGTTCTGAGGATGCAGACAGCTGAGAAAAAATTGTATGTATTTCCATCCACGTATATTACATGTCTTGACATTTCCAAAATCTTAGTTATAATGTGGACAAAGCTTTTCATAAAATATATACTGTGTAATAAGACATCCCTAATGGAGTACATTCATTGAAGAAACAATAGCAGGTTAATAAAGGACTGTTTTCTGCCTGATTACTTTATATTCAGTGACAAATATGTCATTCTTAATAAATAAACGTCACATTAAAAGGCCTAGAATTCAATCCTATCTGTACACACAGAACACAGTCTTAAGGGTTATGATAAAATTATATTAAATAAAATTGTGACAAAATTGTACTGATAGACAGATAGCTCCCATATGGCTGATGAGGAGATTATGGGATATCCTGCTAATGAACAATTAATGACTCTTTTGCCAGGGATATGAGAGTGGGAGAAAGAGAGGATTTACTTCTTATCCATGGAGTTTTCTCACTGGTTTTTGTATCAATAAACCTTGTTGAAGCAACTGTGATTTTAATATCCTGTTCAAGATGACCTGAGTAAAGTAAGTCTATGGTCCTATCCCAATTTGTAGCTGAAGTTTTCTTAATGCAGCACACAGTGAGTTTGTTAGATCACCTTACCTAATAACAGACACACACACACACACCACAGTTGAACTGGCAGTCTTGTTTTAAGTGCCAACAAGTCTGTTTGACTCACAGTGACCCGATATATGGTTTCCATTCTTGTTGTTAAGTGCTCTTCAGTCAATTCTGACCCATAGCGACCCCATATAGGGCTTCCAAGGAGCAGCTGGTGAGCTTGAAGCGCCAACCTTGCTGTTCAAACCGACTTTGCAGTCCAGCGCATTAACCCACAGCACCACACCAGGACTCCATAGTTTCCATAGAGTGGGGAAATATACAACAGAGAAGCTACAAACCAACTTCATGAGAACATGTTCTAATTCTCATGTGTGTGTGTGTGTGTGTTTTCCTTCTGCAAGTGCTTGACAATTATATTTGCCTTGCCATAAATATGACTCTAAAATTTGACTTGGGAAAGTCAACTTAAGACAAGATTTCAAAATTGAACAAAGACAATAAATTGCTTGATAAAATTTTCCAAAAAAAAAGAGCACACTCTATTTTCCTTTCCTCCTTTTGGAATGACTGGCATATAATATTACATGTAAACAGCCTAACCTCATGTCAGCCAAAACAGTCAGTCATATTGCTAAGAACTAAAAACAAACCAACTTTGCATCAAGTTCATTCTGACTTACAGTGACCCCTTGTGTGTCAGAGTAGAACTGTGCTCCACGGTGTTTTCAATGACTGATTTGGGGGAAGATTGTTACTAAAACTGTACATTCAAATCCACACATGGAATGAAATGAAGCTGCTGCTAAACTCTGGCTTTAAAAGGTAGTCTGTCATTTCTTTCACAAAAGGAGAGCCACTTTACCCAGGAGGTAGGTCCTATTGGACCCTAGACATTAGCTGGGTACCCAAACTGATGTTGGCGTAAGAAATACAGCCATGGATTTTTAAGTTAGCCAAAGATGTGAATCATTTGTACTTCCTAAGACCTCTTCTTGCCCCGGTGGTATAGTAGGTTTATCTTTGTGCTGCTTAAGGCAGGAAATCACTATGCAACTCAAGAGCACAAAACAACAACAACAATGTCTCCTTGTTCTTTTGTACCCTCAACTCTGTATAGGGTTTCCAAGGTGAGAAGAAACCCTCATCTTTCTCCCATGGCAGGAGGGCTGATAGAATCAATTACTGACCTTGCAGTTACCAGCCCAATGCATAGCCCGTTACACGACTGGTGACCCTAAGGATTGTGTCAGGTCCAACTCACAGTGATCCTGTATAGAGTTTTCGAAGATTGGCTGCTGGGCTTGACCTGCCATCTTTGTGGTTAGCAATCAGTGCCTATCTTACAGAACCACACCATAACTCCTGAAAAAACTCTGTAATAATGAAAACAATGGGACAATAAGACTTCTGATTGTGCTCTCTCCTTCCAACACGTGAACTGGTTGTCAGCATTTCTTCTTATTCTTTTCTCTCTCCATTTAGAGCTATTTTTCTTGGGTTTCTGTTCTTTCAACTTCTATCTATCCTTTATTCTGTGTCTTTCATTCTCATTCTTTCTCTCCACGCTAAATATGAACAGGTTTGAAATAAATCTTTCATCTTTTGCCAAAGATTTGTCTTTTCATAAGAAATTTTATAGACAGTTATGTTCTATGAATTTTATTTGCAGATCTACCTTTGCTATACTAATATTGCAAACCAAAAAATTGGAATATTGTCTTTAGAGAGGAAAAAACAAAAAGCTATATTAAACTTCTAGGCTGTTAGGGCTTTTATAAATATACAAACACAGGAGATTGGACCCACTGTGAGGATTTGACTTATGATTTATCTTTGTAATTACCACAAATCTCTTCTAAGCTAAGGCAATATCTGCTTTGAAACAAATATTTACATATCATGTACAGAAAAATGAGTCACATATATTGTCTTGCAAAGGTTTGCCTCCTACTTACCTAGAAGTACATATTGTCTTTCTCGTCTCTTCCCCTCTCCTTTACTGAAATAGATGGCTTTCTGTTAAGTTGTAGAGACATGAAGAGTTGTCTGTCTTCTTTGTATGTGGATGGATATTGCACCTTGATGTTTGCCTGTGTTCTCTAGGCAAATAGCAAGTTGCTTTCCTATTAACAACCCTGTAGCTATAAGCCATTAATTCAGGAACAAGAGCAACTGAACGTTGAAAGCTCTATTTGATTCTATTCCTCAGTTGTTGGTTTGTTTTTGTTTTGTTTTGTTTTCATTTCCTTGGGAGGCATCTTTACGGAAACCCATGGTTTTATTTCTGACCCCAATATCAGTTTGGGTATCGAACTAACGTCCTAAGTATTAGAGGATATACCAACCTGCTGGGTAAAGCGGTCCTTATTTTGAAAAAGAAACAATAAACTACATTTTAATGCCAGATTTCAGCAACGATTTCATTTTATTCCATGTGTGGTTCTGAATATAAATGTGTATCTGCAACATGTGAACTGTCCTACCAAAACAAGGACTTACGGCCAGGACGGAAGACGGTATCTCCAATCAGTATGAGTTTACAAATGAGAGACATGAATCTACAAAGGGACTTAAAAGTCCCAACTATAAAGGATATAAAAGTAACTGGGACCATATTGTTTCCTGATGGTCCTCTAAGTGTTAGAAAATGCATATGAGATCGCTATGTTATTAAACAGAATTGTGTTTGCTATGTACCAGGTACTTATATAAACTCTTTACATATATTAATTAATTTTAATCCTTATCAGAACCCTCTGAAAATGGAAGTATAATTTTCTGTATTTTACAGATAAGGACATTGATATGCAGAGAAATTATAAGTAATCTGCCTAAGATCACACCGCTAGGAAATTGAAGGAATGGGACTTGAAACATGGTGGCTTCAGCATTCCTCTCTTGACCACCATGTCATTCTAGAAAACATAAAAACCAAAACCAGTTGCCTCTAAATTGATTTCAACTCATGGCAACCTGAGGTTGGCAAAGTAGAATGCTGTGCCTTAGGGTTTTCAGTGGCAGATATTTGAAGAAGTAGATAGGCCATTCTTCCTGGTGCCTCTGGGTGAACTAGAAATCTCCAAGCTTTTAGTTAGCAACTGAATGTATTAACAATTTATGCAATCCATGGAATTCATAAACTGAAAGGTTGATAACATTAGTTATAATGAAACAGAGTCAAAAACCCACTATCAATTTATTACTTTATGTATTAAGTTAATATGGAGTCCTGGTGTGGCACTGTAGGCTGCTAACAATAAGTTTAGTGGTTCAAACCCACCAACCACTCCTTGGAAACCCTATACAGGGTCACTATGAATCGAAAATGACTCAATGGCACTTAATACAACAACATTAAATTAATATCTAAAAATTAATATTAAATATGTAATTTTCCTTAGATTCTAACTCTCTCTCTCTTTTCCCATATTTGACCTTTGGCTTCAGTTGTCTCACCTTGAAACTGACGGTATTGAAATGGCAAATTCCAAGGAGATCATCTACTTCTCACACCCCTGTTCAGTGCTAGGGCATCATGCAAAAAGAGTGGTGTGAAATTAGCCACTGTCCCTTGGGAGCGTTTGCTCTAAGATGTTCACACGAATGTGGCCACATGTATAGAGGAATTACAGAGAGCATAATATAGCAACATTAGACTAAGAGAAATAAGGGACATTTCAATTAATACTAGGTGAAATTTAGATGAAGAGAAAATGGTGAAGTATGTATATGAGACCGGGGGGAAAGTATAAGAATTATGTTTCAAACATATTAGAAATAAAGAAAGTCTTTGTATGAAAGCTGAAGTCAGTTCCCCTAGGATCAGATGTGCCTATTATGAACGGAAAATAAATTATTAGGCTCATAATTAATATACAAATTGATGAATTGCGGATTTACTACCAAAAAATTACTATGGGATGGACATAAACTCTCAAAGCTCAAAGAAAGTAAAAATTAACAGGACATTATTTTAAACTACATTTAATTGGAGTGGGAGATGTGTAGTGGAATCCACACTGTCAGTTTATCTTTGTTCAGGAGAAAAGGGCCTTGGGGTCATTGCATAAATTGCTTTTCAGATATATATTTGTGAACAACTACTGTCCATCCTTTCCAATCATTCTACAGTTTGGAATCAGGACTTTTATTTTCTAAATTGATTCATTTTGTGAATTGTAAAAAAGGAAAGAAAACAAACAGACAAACAAATTTTCTGTCTAACTTACAAGTGAGAAACTAAGGCTACATATATTTTTTTTATCAACCAACAAAACCAAACCTGTGGTTGTGACTCCCTCCCTTCTTCCCCTGTTTGACTCTCTTTTGTTAATTCTATGATAAAAGTCTGGAAATAAGGGTTATTTATTGTGGTTCTGATATGACACTCTAGAATAAGCGCTGGACTGCTAACCACAGTGTCGACAGTTCAAACCCACCAGCCGCTCCTTGGAAACCTGATACAGGGTTGCTCGGAGTCAGAACTGAATCTATGGTGCGTAACAACAACAAAATTGTGGTGTAAAGTTGAGATTCTTGAGTTTATTTTCAGATAAGTATGTTTACCCCCATACATCAGCACAACCACAGAGAACCAAAAGGAGAAAACCACTGTAATTCACTTCACATTGTTAAGCAGAAACCCTTGGTAAAAGATTTAAGATCAATTATTTTAAAAATGGTCAATGCAAGCCACATTTTCCATTTAAGTTATTGCGGTAATTAATACTTATTTAGCATTATTAGAATGACCTGACCTCTTTATTTAAAATTTCTTTCCGCATATGTTGGTTCTATGTTATGGATCAAAAATCTTATTGTGGTTATACATAAGAAATCCAGAAAACAAAATAATTTTTAAATAGCCAAAGGAAAAAAAGTTTTGCTTACTAAGAGCTGAACACATTCAAACATGAAAATGTAGTTTAAAGTGCAAACTTTACAAATTGTATTTACTTTCCTTTTATTGTTGTTGTTAAGAGCCATCAAGTTGATTCTGACTCATATTAGCCCTCTGTAAGTTTTCCAAGGATCAGCTGGTAGGTTTGAACCGCTGACCTTTAGGTTCCAATGCTTATTCTGCAGTTTAGAAAAAGATATAGTTCAACCACCACTGGATCTTTTTTATGTAATTAAAAGTATCCTCAAGCCTAGATTCTTTCACCCAGCATTTTCTTTTTGAAATCAGTATTACTCTATCTTAATTTTTAAAAGAAAAAAAAATTACGTGTACTTAAGAGATGCACCTTAAGTTATCATTGTTATTTAAGATGCACCTTAAGAAACCAATAAATCTTCTAAAAGGCCTAGCATATTGATGAGGGTGTTGCTGATGAGCTGAAGTTCTTTTGATTCTGTAAGCGATGAAAGATATCCTGAGGTGTTTGGGCAACTGAGTCAGACCCACACACAAATATGAAATGATTAAATGAAATCACAGTCAGCAGTGGCCTGGCAGGATTGCCTGGTGAGAGATAATACTGCAGCTTTCTAATTGGCTCGCAGCAATACGCAGAATGACAGATTTCGGTTATGGTATTGCCAGTCCTGCTTCTCCCAGCACTATTATCTCAGAGTGACACTTCCATTACTCTGAGCGGAGAAAGATGAACGTCACCTGTCACAGACTGGTTAATTGTGTTGCTAGATGTATGTTGCCAGGGCGCAGGTTGGACATTTATGAACATAACTGCTTCCTCTGATGTCCGCCATCCTTCAGGGATCAATATGGCTCTTACAGTAAGCGTGTAATTGAGTGAAGGCACTTACCACTGAGGGGCTGAAGATGAGCCCATTGTGTGAGCTTCATTGTCCATACATTTACCATAAATGAGCTGATATTTGCCATTTATTGTGTGCAGCATTGTGGAAATGGAAACTAATGTGCCACTTTCATTTGTTTTCTAGATAAATGGTGAAGATGTCCAAAATCGGGAAGAAGCCGTGGCATTGCTCTCTAGTGATGAGTGCAAGAGAATTGTGCTGCTTGTTGCAAGACCGGAGATTCAGGTCAGAACAGCAAGAAAAAGTGTTGAGACTGAATTTGACTTTCACTATTTGCTGTTCTGTATCCAATCAGTACTGTGAATCTCTGTAACACCCAGTATACAAAATATAACTACAACTGATCTTTCTTAACTTACTTAACTCCTAAAAAAGATAATAAATTAAATTCTGAAGTATATTGCTCTACAGAATGACAACTTAACATCTTACTTTCTTAAAAGTACACAAAAATCATTACCCTTCCCCACCTCTTGCCTGTTATTTAAATGAATTCACAAATGAAAAATGCTTGACTTTACAAGATGTTTAATTCTGTATGAATCTTTCCATTTGGTTCCAATCTAAAAATAATTGGCAAATTGAGATATCGTGAAAGAATCTCTAATGAGAGAAACATTAGCATATCTAGTTTTCAACTTCAATCTTCTTAGAGTGACTTTATCAAATAAAGTGTCCTATGAAGCATGAGATGGTTTCATGTATGGTAAATGGACTTTTCCAAGTTTAATATGACACAGACATCTCTATGACCAAAACAAGGTGATTGTTTCAAAAGAAAAAAAAAAAAAATTTATAGATTACAGAGGGAGATGTCATGAAAGTAAAATAGGGGTGATGGTGGAAGGAAAGTACCAGTGGTATTTTTTATGATATCCTCTTTATTCCCCATCACAAAACAGAGAGGATAAAATACTGTCACCATTCTATCCATCTGTCAGTAGTTTGAGTGAAATTGGTTATATCACCATTTGTCGCCCAGGTTATTGATCTGATACTTTTCAGTCTCAGTAACTACATACTATCTATAAATTACGTTGAGTAAGTATATTTCAGTGTCAGATGAATCCAGACTTGAACATAGCTGTTAAAAAGATCACTGTTTCCACATATATTTCCTTTATGCCCTTGGCCATTCTAAATGTTCCTTTACAGCCTGCCTTAGACCCAGCAGAGTAAAGTTACACACCAAAGGCCTTAGGGGTGGGGAAAGGAAACCTACACAACTAGACAGACTGCCTATGTAGAACTGATCTTTTAAAATACTCGTGAAATTGCGTTAATTGTCTGGAAATCTCTCAAACTAATCTCACTGATAATATTTTCTTGAAAAAAAATCATGTAAAGGAGGGACCAGTCCCTGGAGAAGGATATCCTGCTTGGTAAAATCAAGGGTGGGAGAAAATGAGGAAGCTGCCCCAATGAGATGGATTGGCACAGTGGCAGGAGCAATGGGCTAAAACATAGCAACGTTTATGAGGTTGGCGCAGGACTCAGCAGTGTTTCATTCTCTTGTGCTTAGGGTTGCTATGAGTTGTTATTGACAGGATGAAACCTAGCAACAATGGAGCTAAGTACATAGTACTGATATCCGGGGCAAATCGAAGAGAACTGAGGACACAGTACAGTAGTCATCTCTGTTGCAGGGAAGATATTTTAGTGACATAATGTGGTTTCCCTTCCTTTTCCTTGTAACTGCTAGAGTGCCTCATTGATCAAGAATTAAAGTATTCCCTGAAACGTTATCACATAATGGCTATAATGGGCTGTGAAAAGAATAGAAATTAATGACATAAGACTAGATCCTGTTAATCTTTGATAGAATACAGATGTTTGGTAGAGCCAATGGCATTTTTGAATATCTGGCTACATTCTTGACCTTTCCTCACGGTAGAGGAAATGTTGGGGGATGAATTTCCAAACCAGAGTATTTTTCACAGTTGATAAAGGATGGTTATCTGACTTCATAGGATGCCAACCTGTCTATCAAAAATCCGAATCTGCATTAGCCCTTATTCATGAAGAAGCATTCATGTCACTGAAGGAAAGCTAATAGCCTTTAGAAAATTAAATTTCTAGAGAAACAAGGAAAGAAAGTGCTTTTTAACACCACAGTTTAAATTTTTAATTTAAACAGTACATTCTATAAAGTGGGGGGAAATGATGAAAAATAAAATCTTGTTTTTATAGCACTCGTATTTTTTCATTAAATCCAACCTACCTCATTATTGTGTTTCCATTTTTATTTTTACATGTATATTTCACCCAAACAGAATGTGGAAGCTTTTTTGTGTGCTGTTTTTCTAGCCTTTTTTAAATGTTTCCAATATCCTCTAGATGCTTTAAAATGATCTACAGAGTTGCTGGGGGCAGTATTGTGCATCTGTGCAATATTTTTAAATAACTCATTCCTCTCATTTCCTGTCAACTTCCTTTCATTTTCTGCCCATTTTCCTCCTCAGACTATTAATGATATTGCTATTCTGTTCTATTCCCCTTGGGCCATTGGGGCAGAGAGAGCTATCATAAGAATGTCACTACCTTAGAGATGGTTGTGGAGGTTGCGCCTTTCTCTGAAATGCCATGTGCAGTCTACTTGGGTAAAGAAAGCTTCTTCCTATATAATAATGACAATCCTCTTTTTCTGAAGCTCAGCTAAAGGGGTTTGTCTGGTCCTGCCAAAGCACTAGACTCAGCTGCCATGAAGGCGCTTCTAGGTGGGAAGGGGAAATACAACAGGGAATGAAATGAGCAAGAAGAGTCTTCTTCCTCATGGTGAGATGTACACCACCTGCCGAGAGGAAAGCACTTCTCCAAAGCCATAAAATGTCTACAGGTGGCAACTCAGGCATCTAGGAGTATGTCAATAAGAAAAGAGTCATAGGGAATCTTTAGTTTTCCCCTTCATTTAGACCTCAAAACACTCTGTTCAATCATTCAATGTATCACAGGAGATATTTTGTTAGACTTGACTAAAAGAAAAATTCCTTGGTGTATTTATGAAATGTAGACATTTCTGGTTTTAAATAATTTATCTTAGAGTTGATAATTTGTAGCTTCATGAAACTTAAAAGGGATTAAAGAATGTAAAATTTGGACAATTATAAATTGGATTGAATTAAATTTTTTAGTCAGCTTAATTATCATAGTAATTTGAATATCAAAGTCAGTGGGGTGGAACCTAGTTATTCAGGTCACATTAAGATAAATGAGTATGAATAAATGTGTCCATGTTTTGGGCCCCTGACGGTTTTGAGATAATTTAAGTTCTAGATGGCCTTTATTAGCTATCAAGAAGCCCATGATTTGTCTTCATATTAATGAATATAATGCATATATGTTAATGCTAGTTCTGGTACAATTGGATGTACTTCTTTCAGGTTTGTTGTTCATTTTAAGATTTAAAAGCTCTTTGAGAACTTATTTTGCCAGTTTATAGAGTGGAGAAAACAAACTATATAGTCAATTTTGGCTCAGTAGAAGCAGCTGTTTGTTTGCAGCATAGTATAGCAGAATTTTCACAATAATCCAATTAATCTGATCATCCTAGACAGCTAATTTATGCAACCCAGCTCCAAAAATCTACTTTGAGGCAAATTATTTATATTGACCGTCAGCACTGGTCATATTAGTGAGGTGGTGGTGGTGGTGTGCTGTGGAGTTGGTTCCAACTCATAGCAACCCTGCATAGGGTTTCCGAGGCTATAAATCCTTACAGGAGCAGAAAGCCTTCTCCAGTGGAACTGCTGGCAGTTTCGAACTGCTCACTTTGAGATTAGCAGCCCAACTCGTAACCACTATGCTACTGTTTTTGTTATATTGAGACGCCGAAGATCTTTGTTCAGTTTAATTTGTGTAAGGCATCCACTATAATGCTTGTATTCAGCACCCATAAACAAAACCTTCCATGCTATACACAATTCTACCACCTTAAGCACCATATCTACTAATAGGCAGTTGTCTGTGGAATTGTGCCTGAAACAATTTATCAAAATAGACATAGCAGAACAAGTTGGTTTTTTTTTTTAAGATGAATAAATTAGTATTATCCTTTTGCAGATAAAACAAATGTTGTCTGCAGATTCTTTTGTGGCACATAGCCATCATGTTAACTTGGGAGCCATCCTCCTGGAAGTAAAAAGGCAAGAGGTGGATAATGTCAGAGTGTGGGGGTACTTTGTGTCATTGGACGTTGTTGTTAAGGACAAAAATAAAATGGTCTCATAGCCCTATTAGTACCGCTGCAGTTCTTTCAACGCAGGGATTGTTGGAGATAATGAGTGTGGTAGCTGTGGATTATACAGCGTGCTTTTCATACAGTTTGAAAGAAGGTAATGTCCTATGCTGTGAGATCTACTCAGCTACGAGAGAAAATCTGTAGCTCTGTTTCAGGGAAGGATAAAAGGCATAAGAGTCCTTTTTTTTTTTTTTTTTCTATCACCTTTTCTTCTTTCTGAGAGGTGAACTATGGGATGCTGAAGAGAATCATTATGATAAAAGGAACTGGTCAGGCGACGCTATTTAAGTTTACCCTATTTTAGCATGAGTTCTCACTAACATAATATAATATACTAATGTATTCTTTTGCAGCTGGATGAAGGCTGGCTGGAAGATGAAAGGAATGAATTCCTAGAGGAGTTAAACTTGGAGATGTTGGAAGAACAGCATAATGAAGCAATGCAGCACACTGCCAATGAGGTGGAGCAGGTAGGGCCAACAATTTGAACTGTATCATTTGAAACGTTGTTAGTTCCCATTTAGATATATAAGCAGAAGTAGCGAACAACAACAACAAAAAAAAATCAAAAGGGCTTAATCATACATCTCTGTAATGGTAAATTTTTAGAGTAAGTGATCATCTCCAATGAGAGGGAAAATATAATTTTCCTCCTATTAAGACTGTTACCAGTTTGGGAATCTTAGGGACCATTGTAAACATAGTACATCAGTACAGGTAGTTCCCCACTTACCACAGGGTTCTGGTCCAGTGATACTGTTATAAGTCAATTCTGAAGTAAGTTGAATAGTTAATTTCTCATTCATACTTTTCTTTTTAAGTTTTCATTATTATTACTTTTTATTATAAATGTCTTTATGAAAAAAGGAAAATCTGATCTTTGTCTTTGGTGGCTGGAAACACTACACATAAACATCTGTGAGTGCCCTATAGAGTGAATAAGATTTCTTTTTTAATCATAAAATAGAAAATAACAAATGTTGTCGATGATGAGGGGAAATCAGAACCATTGCACATTGCTGATGGAAATGTAGAATAGTACAGTCATCGTGGGAAACAGCGTGACAGCTCCTCAAAAAAAATATTACAAAGAACCACCATGTCGTTATTGTTAAGTGCCGCTCCGTCACTGCTGACTTAGCAACTGTATAGGGTTTCCAAGGAACAACTGGTGTATTTGCATCGACCACCTTACGGTTAGCTGTCCAGTGTTTATCCTACAGCGCCACACCAAACACCCGGCTATTCCACTGCAAAAGACTAGAAATCAGAGACTCAAACAGACCAAGAGACAGCTGTTAGGGCAGAACAAGAGGACCCTAAGTGGTTTTAAATTAGTAAAGGTGTGTTTCAGGGTTTTATACTTTCACCATACTTATTCAATCTGTATGCGAAACAAATAATCTGACAAGCTGGATTTTATGAAGAAAAGCTACGTGTCAGGATTGGAGGAACACTTATTAGTAACATGAGTGTTACTTGCTTGCTGAAAGCTAAGAGGACTTTCAATACTTACTGATCTAGTAAGACCACAATCTTCAGTATGGGCTGCACTTCAACGTAAAGAAAACAAAAATCCTCACCACTGGACCAATACATAATATCAAAGACTTCATTTTTCTTGGAACCATTATCAACACTCCTGGAAGCAGCAGTCACTAAATCAAATGACGTATTGTGTTAGGCAAATGTGCTGCACAAGACTGCTTTAATGTGTTCAAAAGCAAAGATGTCAGTTTGAGGACTAAGCAGTGTATGACCCAAATCATGGTCTTTTCAGTAGCCTCATATCTATGTGAAAATTGGATAATGAGCAAGAAAGGGTGCAGAAAAATTGATTCATTTGATTTATGGAGTTGAAGAAGAATATTAAAAATATCATGGACTTACAGAAGAACAAAATAAAAATCTGTTTTGGAAGAAGTACAGCCAATCCCTGGAGAAGGACATCATGTTCATTAAAGTGGAAGATCAGCAAAAATGAGAAATGCAGCACCAATGGGCTCAAGTATAGCAACAATTTTAAGTGTTTAGTTCTGTTGTGCATAAGGTCGCTGTGAATCAGAACCAACTTGAGGGCATCTAACAACAGCAATGTTGATCGCATCACTATTCACAGTAATCAATTCACAACAGCCAAAAAGTACAAATAACCTAAATTCTCATCAATAAATGAATGCATAATCAAAATGTGGTACCTACAGACAATAAAATACTACTCACTCAATAGGAGAAATGAAGTTTTGATACCCAGTATGGATGGAGGTTGGAGACATTAAGCTGAGTCAGTTAGAAAGGGACAGATGTTATATGATCTCAGTTAAAATGACAAGCAAAAGCAAAGGACAGATAACAGTGGTTATTAGTGGTTATTAGATATTGGAGAGAGGAGGGTAGGGGAGTTAACAGTGATGGAAATAGTACACGGATTAAGGGAAGAGTTTCCCAGTCAATTATTATAATTGCTGACATTAAGTTATACACCTGTCAAAAACTGAATTGACAAAAGTTGTGTGATATATACATAACAACAACAAAATAAAATTACGGTTGAGGCTGTTTATATATAGCCCAAAATCTTATAGGACTTGATTTCTTGATTTGAAAGTCTAAGATCATGGGTTCTTGGCACTTCCTGGTTAATTGGCCTAATAACATATTTAGTGCTTCTTTTCTACTTCCTATTTCATTTGGTAGAGAAAGAAGTCTTAAAAGCTTGTAAGTGGCCGTCAGAAACACAACTGGCCTGTATTTATCTGGAGCAATAGAAGTTAGAGTCAGGAACAGAAGGAGAACGTAGAATGTGTGACTGATTGTCGCCATGAAGAACTGCCTCTGAGAGGAGACCAGAAGAACTGGATGATACCCATCTGCCATTATTGAATACTTTGATTAAAGATTCCATGGAAGAATCCTAATCAAAGGTGAGGAGGATATAGAACAGAATTTCAAATTCTTGCAGACTCTAGACTTCCTAGAGTCGTGAAGGTTGGATAAACCCCTGAAACTGTATCCCTGAGATAATTAAACCTTAAACCAAAAGTATCCTATGAAGTTTCCTGAAAACCAAACAGTAGTTTAGCTTGAGTGGTAAACAAAAAAAAAAAGGATATGCCGTTAGCATTATACTCTTTTGAGAACTATCTATATGAGATCAAAGTGACAATAGCATCTTATATAGGACCTTTAGGATGCAGTGCATTTATAGTACTGGGGAAGGGACAACTCAGAAAAGAAAGGTCAGCATGGTTCCACAATTTCAAGAATGTAATCAATGCCACTAACCAGTACCTGTATTGTTGAATTGCTATATCTTGTGCAGTGTACATTTTCAGCAATAACAAAATAAACTATTTTAAAAATCACATCCAAAAATCTATACGTGAACATCTGTTAATGATAACAACATTGCATATGGCTTATACTACTAACAACAAGATGTTCCAATATATATAAATAAACTCTCCTAACTAGGGTCCATTATAACTCAAATACCTATTGCAACCTAAATGTAGAAATTTAATATTGTAGTAAAGTTGTGTGTTCTGTGTCAGTATTATAGCTGGAGACAAATTATTTCTTATGAGGCTATTAAAAAGATACATTAAAAATAGCAAAAATTAACATTATATGTTTAGGCAACTTTAGGATGATATAAGTTCTCAAGTTTACTTATTTCTGTATTATCACTTACTACTTATTTGGTATCATGATTGTACCTGTATAACCCTGACTAGGAGTATTCGTTTTTGAGATTATTAACATTTTGCTTAGAGTCACATGGTGGTGGTTATGTGCCGTGGAGTCGGTTCCGACTCATAGCGACCCTGTACAGGGTTTCCAAAGCTATAAATCTTTACGGGAGCAGAACACCTCATCTTTCTCCTGCGGAGCAGCTGATAGTTTCCAACTGCTGACCTTGCGGTTCACAGCCCAATTTGTAACCACTGCGCTACCAGAGCTCCTTTAGGGTCACATGTTGTTGTTGTTAAGTGCCGTCGAGTCGGTTTCGACCCATAGCAACCCTGGACAGGGTTTCCGAGGCTGTAAATCTTTACGGGAGCAGAAAGCCTCATCTTTCTCCCGTGGAGCAGCTGGTAGTTTCGAACTGCTAACCTTGCGACTCGCAGCCCGATTCGTAACCACTACGCTACCAGAGCTCCTTTTAGGGTCACATAGGCATACCATAAATAATTTTTGATCTCCTAAGCAAAGCTGCTTGAACTGCATGGTCGGCAGTTCAAGTTTACCAACTGCTCCTTGGAAACCCTACACAGGATTGCTATCGATTTGAGTCGATTTGCTGGCACTTAACAACAACAACAACAATATGTCCCAAAAGGAGCTTTGGTACCGTAGTGGTTACAAGTCAGGTTGCTAACTTCAACGTTAGCAGTTCGAAACTACCAGCTGCTCTGCAGGGGAAAGATGAGGATTTCTGTTCCTGTAAGGAGCTCTGGTGGTTATTAATCGGGCTGCTAACCTCAAGGTTGGCAGTTGGAAACTACCAGCTGTTCTGCGGGAGAAAGATGAGGCTTTCTGCTCCTGTAAAGATTTGCAGCCTCAGAAACCCTATACCGGGTCACTATGAGTCGGAAGCGACTCCACGGTCCTTCAGTCTCAGAACCCTTATACAGGGTTGCTATGTGTGAGAACCGACTCCACAGCACAGAGCTACCACCACCATCCATATGTCCCAAGCACTATATTTGAGACTAAGAATACAAAGAAGGAATCAGTGTCCCTGCCCTTTACTGATATGTAACTAGTAAAAAATTACTGTGGCTTGTGAAAAAGTGGATTGCAAAATTCGTTTCATTGTTGTCTTTGTTGCTGTTTTCCTACTTGAGCAAAAGAACACCACATTCCAGTTCCTGTATGTCAGCTCCGTGTCATTCAGCTGCCTGATACACTTTTATTAACACTTCTGATGTCAGTTTATTGCTTATTAAAATTATCATACTATTTTCAACATTAATTCTTAACACATCCTAAAAGATTGCTTAAAAACAAAACAAAACACCTCAGGCTTAAGAACATGAAGAACAACATCCACTCCCTTTACCAAGATGAAAATAAATGCCATGGATATGCTAATGTCCATTATGATGTGTGTGTTTGTATGCATGTATACACATGCACATAGTAAATAAATCACTAGGCTGCAAACCACAGTATAAACACAGCCCTGTGTGATATGCTCGTGTGCTGATCATGGAAGCTTGCTTCTAGGCTACTTCACAAACAATATTTGGTGCTCAGATGTGCTGCTACCACTATGGTGATTGTTTTTCAACATAGGTTTGAGGAGACTGAAATTTTTTATATTTGACTTCAACACTAGCCACAAATAAAGATATTTGTGTGGTGGCAGCTGCTAGTTACAAGCTAGAAAGTCCTTGCTCCGGGCTTTCTCTCTCTTACATACAAAATGTGACCTGATAGAGAATTGACAGGAGGATGTTGGAAT